CATTTTTCTAGCAAAACTACATTTTACAATGTAAAGATTACAATTCCGCAAAAATTGAAGAACACGATCAAGATCAAAAGTAAATCGAGAAATTAGGGCAAAACAACTACTAATTACTAAGACTACTACAAAAAAGGGCAAAAGACCCGTTAAAATATGCATAAGAGACCTCATTTAGAGAGACCCCTCATTAGAAAGGGGTTTGTTTAGTAGAACAACGAGACCCGTTGTTAGAGATAAAGGGTCTATTAGGTAAGGTATGAAATTGATATTTTAGAAGGTAAACAGACCTATGATCTGAGATAGGGGGTCTCTTTAGTGGTATCAGTGAAATCTGTTACTTTAGATAACTGGTCTCTTTGTTGAATTTTTGAAAGAAAAAAAAATAATACAAAAAATTGCTTTTTTTTTATAGGAAAAAATTGCTTTTCATATGTACTACGATTCACATTTGAAATTTGAAACCATTTGAAATTTGTATTTTTATGTTGAATTCAAATTGCGAAAAATTTGTAAAGTAAATTCTAGAGTTCAAGACCAAACAAAATAGCATTGCACTAAATAGAATTCATGATATACAATCTAAATAAACAAAAAAGTAAATAAAACGATAAAAAAAAATTAAAATTATTTGACTTTACTGAAAATTATTTTAAATATAATTACATCAATATGTAGCTTGGGTACTGCATTACTATTTTCGAGTGAGATTTCTGTGTAACATATGCAAATCTGACAAAAAAAAAATGAAACAATATAATTGAAAATAAACCAAATAATTAAAAAATAAAATGAGTGATGCACAATTAATAAATCACTACCATCAGGCCACAATAAATCAGCATCATAGTTTTCAAGTTCATATGAAGTGCTATATAGTATATAGTCCATTTATATATGTAAATGATATAAATGGAAAAGGTGTGACTTGTGCTTAATCAATCACCTAACCAAGATACGGCAAATCATAGTACGAATCCACTGCTTCCGCAAGCTTAGACCACCAGCTTAGCCTTAACTTTTAAACAATCATAGCAAACAAATTTGCACGCTATTAAAGGAATCTATAAATCTATAAACCATATAAAAGTTCAACTCAAATTCACTGTAGCTTAGTAACAGTACCCCCTTATGAATAGTAAAAACTGGTGCTATTACCCCTTTGCCCCCAAAATTAATACATTTCCAGTTTTGCCCTTGCTTGCTTTGACTGGATTTACTTGCACAGGTGGATTTCCTTTTTGCATGCTGTGGTGGATTTCTGTGGAAATGAAGTACTTACTGCCACCTACACATGAGTTTGGATTGATGGGTGATAATCCATATCATAATTATTTATTCAGAGATAAAGAAAGATGACATCAGCAAAATTGCTTACTTAATTTCGTTGATTACCTATTAATTAGTGTGGAAGTCCTGTTATTTGTGAATTTGAAATTCATTTGTTTAGTAATCTTGTTTGCTAATGTAGTTTGTTAATGGGAGTAGGTGACTGATGTTTGAGCTGTTTTACTCTACAGTGTTTTCCACTGTTTGGGTCCTTAAGTCGGTGTTCCTAGGTTTCAAACAAATTACTTATTCCTAAGATAGTATATATAGAGACATGCTCATTTATTCGTATGGGTGTGTGCGATCTTCTCTGTGTAAGTGCATTCCTGTTCTTCTTGTTGTTATTTGGGTTGCATGGTGTTTTGAGATACAATTGCCACAATCTTTAGGATCTTGCACGAACACCTATTGGTTAGTTCTGTATTATTAGTCGATTTAATTGCTTACAATGTATGTTATTTTGTTTTTTACATAGATTAATCGTTTGCAATTTGTGTTTTTTTTGGGTTTTATCGTATATTAATATACAACTGCATCATTTTTTTTTCTTTATATGGGTATATTCATTACTCGTGATGTGGGAATTTCAGGTGTCTTGCAAGCATTGGGGTGTTTGTTGGTATTGTTGGCTGGAAGCTGCTTTCAAGGGTTGTGCTATTTAATGGTACGTAGTTTTGTAATTCCTTTTTACGTGCCTCGCTTTGGGTTTGCACATTTTACATATGCTTTCCTGTTTCAGAATAATTGCTTTATTTGTTGAATATGTGGTGGTTAGTATTTAGGGGAGTCAGTAGGCAGGTAATATGGTTGCTCAGATTCTATTTGTTTCATTCTACTATCTTTTGGGATGACAGTGGTGGGGCTCTTTTTTGTCTCGGTATTAGTTTAGAAGTTTGAAGTACATGAGGGTGGGCCTTTGTGTTGGTGGGATGAGGAGATATGAGGTTTAAGGTAAAAAAAACATAGATGTTTATGGTTTAGTCGCTGGTAGTTTGTTCTTACATAGTTTCTACTATTTGTCTTGCTTTTTGAAAAAAGAGAGTTGAGTTTTAGGTGAGATGGGTCTGCTTCAACCATGTATTTTGGTTGTAGTGGTTGTTATGGTATCTGTAGCTGTGCGATTTTTCTTGGGAGAATGTCCAGCTTTTTGCCTTTGTGTAAGGGATTCCAATCTAAATGTGGTTCTTGCCAATACAGGTTATGGCTGCTCGATCTAACAAAGTTTCCATTCCCTTTGAACCTCTTCTGCAAAAGATCACTGCCTGGCTGCAGTTCCCAGCACCAGTTTATGGGTTCATAGATATTACTAGGAACAATGTCTGGGTGAAAGTTGTGCGACCAAACAATCGAGCACGCTTGACATTCTTTGGTGGTGATGCAAGTACGGCTCAGGAATCTCGTGAGAGGGCAGCTCAGAAGGCTGTAAAAAAGCTGATATACATGTTTGGTATTAAGGTTTCGGATTTTACATATGATCAGATTAGACTCTATGAATTATGTATGAAGCTATTTAGGAATAAGTGTGCTGAGTTATTGCAAGAAAAGGGCAAAAGCCCTAGGCAAGTTGTAGGGGAGAGTTCTGGACATAACCTGGTTGGTAGTGGTTTTCATGTTTCCATTGATTATGCACAGGTATTAGTGCTTGTTGTGCGAAAGACCGGAGCATCTGTGACAGTTATAGAAACAACTTGGGTGGAGGGTCATGGCTTCATTTCATGGGTTATGGTTAATTGTCCGCGTAGTAGTAATGGGATGGAGTGCATTTTTAGTGAGTTCTGCCCTTTGGCAAGTGTTGCTGAACAGAGGGTTGCAAAGAAGGCTGTGTTTTATTTAGCTTGTAAATACAATCTGGAGATAGTTGATGCTAACTATGGGGCTACAACAAAGCTAAGTAGAGAGTGTTACTTGCTAAGGGAGAAGTATTTAATCTTAAAGGGACATCTTGAACGGTTGGAGCAGACTCCTCAGCTTCCTGTTGCCGTGAACTCTGTGGTCTAGGAAGAAAATGTGTCTCAAATTGGTGAGGACTTACAGGTACCTGACAGTAACACTGTGTCTTTTACTCCTGCTAAGCGAAAGAAGCTACTACAGATAGCTCATAAACAAGAATTGGGGGTAGGCACTTCAGATCAGGCAGCATCTGGTTTGCTGGAACTTGGCCAGTTGTTTGGAAATGCTGAGCCTAATTAGGTAGTGCGTAGAAGTTGTAGGGGATTGACGTGTTCTGTTTTCTTTAAGTATGTAGAATGTAAACAAAAAATTCCGCTTTTGTGTCTGTTTCAGTTTCTGTAAAGGAAGTGCTTCTAGGCTATGGAAACTGGTTATTTTGGTTGTAATGTCAGTATAGTTAGAGTGGCATTTATAAGGTTTCCACCTCTTTTGTTGTAATGCTACTGTTAGTGTAAATAAATATCTATGGAAGAGTACTTTCTTCATATGCTCTTTGCAGTTCTAATACCATTAGCAATCCTTTAAATTACCTGCTTAAGGTTTGCATTGCTTATTATGTTGTGGTCTAGAATAGTAATGAAAATCGTCTATGTTTTCTAATATTATTAGTTGGATCATACCTTTTACATGTTGAATAACGTTTGAATTATTAATGCTAATGTATATTACTACTGTTAGAAAGCAGACATGTAGTACATTTATTGAAATTCAGTATATTAGTATTGTTATTGTTGTATGTGGATCTTAGCAAACAAACAAAAAAATTTAAAATTTTTTAAATAAAACCCAAAAAAATGGGGGGTTGATTTGTGGGAATTATTGCTTTCTAATTTATACAATGGGTTCATATGTATTCTGCCATACAAAATCAGGTAAAAAAGAAGACCTACATGGTGGACTGCCAATATGGTATTCCTTATTTATCAAGTAAGAGTTGCAGCAGAGCTAATCGAGCTGAACAACGATCATCCCACGTAGCAGTACATAGGTAAATGCTTACACATGGTTGTTGCATATTCACTTAGCCTACTTTACCCTGGGAGTGCTGTAAGTTAATATTTGATTTTATCAACTTCATACAAATAGCTAAGAACAAAATGGACAACTTCTTGTGTATGAGTTTCGAAGAGAAATCGTCTGTTGAGTGGATCGCCAGAGGTGCATTTAGATAGGTAAACGACAGTTGATTGAGGTGTGTTTTGGGTGAGATTTATTAGCTTCTGTAATGTGTCTGCCTAAATGTGCAGAACTGAATTACATTGTGATCCTCTTGCGTATGGTGGTGATGGTCACCCGGAATCATTAAGGTAGTTATCAGTGACTTCAGCATAATATACAGTTGTAGTATCCTGTGTAGTAACATGATTGTTATGTCTGGTTGTTCTTAACAAACTATGATTTTTATTCAGTGATAACCGTGGATCCAAAACATACCTCGAGAACATGCAACCAAGAAAAAACGTAGCATAGATGATATGGCTCAATCACAACCAAAAAGGTATTTGTTTTAGGTAACTGGTGTCACAGGTTGGTTAAAATAGGCAAATTGTGTTGATTTAGGCTTTGTGTATAGTGGTTCAGCACCGAAGAAAAAGAAATCTACTTCAAACCCAAAGCTACACTGTATGTTTGTGAGCAGTTTTCTCTAACATGGGTATTAATTATATATTATTGTTAAAGTGAACTATGTAAACTAACTTCTACCTATTGAATTTGTATCGATGCCAGTAATTCCTGCTGCTATGTCTGGCCAACCATTGTCAACAAAGCCTCTAAAGTTGCCATCCCCTATGCAGTATTTAAAATGTGGTGCAAAAAAGTTTGCTTTTGAAACTGTGAATTTCTGTTGCAGTGGCGGAGAGGTTAAGATAGCAGCAAATGAATACCCTGCTGAACTGCAGCGGCTCTTTACTTCAAACGATGAAGACGCAGTTCACTTCAGAACCTATGCTAGGTTATATAATAATTTGTTTGCCTTTAGTTCTATAGGAGGGAAATTTGATGCAAGCACTTACAAGGGCATATATGTATTTAAAATGCATGGTCAGATGTATCATTTTGTTCCAAATTTATTGCCTGATAAAGGCACCCCAAAGTATTTACAGCTTTATTTTTATGATGGACAAAATGAGGCTAATAATAGGCTTAAATGCTTTCCAGAGGTCAGGCGAAAAGTGATTGATATTCTTATGCGAATTTCAGAGCAGAATCCATATGTAGTGTTCTTTCAATCTCTCAGAGAAAGGCATATTACTGTGGATACTAAAATTGTGCTCAATCAGAGTACAGTGCTAGACCAGCGTGTTTACAATGCCCCTGCTGTAGACGATGTTGCAGTCATATGGCCAGACAACGCTTTTCTAGCCAAAGTTTAAGTCCTCATATCTTAGTAGCTGGTAGATCTGCTACATCTCATAGAATCTATCATAACTATGGTTGTTATGATCCATTGCAGTATCCTTTGTTATTTCCTCGTGGGGAATGTGGTTGGACTCAAGGATTACAAAAGCAGTCTCATGGTGGAGTAAGAAACACTACTCCATTGCCAGATCCAATCATGTCATGTGCTGTGCATAGTGCTGAGGACTTATTGAATGAAGAAGATAAAAGTACACTTTTCAAACACAGCTACATTAAACTGACTAATATACATTGCTGTTTGCTAACTATCTTCCATATTATGACTAACTGTTGATGCCCTTGTTATGCAGGAGCAAGTAAAAAGAACACTAGAGCTGACAAGTTCATTTCTGCACGAGAGTACTTTTCCTACAAGTTGCAAATTCGGCCTGAAAACATGTTGTTGCGAGCTGGAAGATGTTTCCAGCAATATATAGTTGACATGTATGTCAAAATTGAAAACACTTGGCTTGATTACTTTCGGAATAATCAACAAAGTACACGGGCTGAACTATATCAAGGTATTTTAGATTCATTAGATTGTGGTGAGACTGTTGCTCATAATGTAGGACGTAAAGTAATCTTACCTCCTACATTTATAGGAGGACCTCGAGATATGAAGAAACGTTACCTAAATGCCATGGCTTTGGTTCAGAGATATGGGAAACCAGATTTATTTGTTACTATTACCTGCAATGCTAATTGGCCTTAAATAAAGGCTGAGTTAGCCCCGGGTGAAACAGCACAAGATCGACCTGATTTAGTAGCCAGAATTTTCAGAGCCAAATTTTTATTGCTGAAGAAAGAAATATTGGGAAAGCAAATCTTTGGTGAAGTTGCTGCATTGGTGTATGTTATTGAGTTTCAAAAGCGAGGTTTACCACATGCTCATTTCTTGATCATCTTGAAATCAGACTGGAAGATGAAATGTCCTGCTGATTATGATAAATATGTGTGTGCTGAAATACCACCTGTCAGTAATAGCAATTTGAGGCGGACTGTGCTTGCACATATGATGCATGGCCCTTGTGGTGTGTTAAATCCGGAATGCCCTTGCATGCGTAACAAAGGTGGTATATTGTCTTGTAAAAGTAAATATCCTAAACAGTTTTCAAATGAGACGACTTATAATAAAGATGGTTATCCCATCTACCAAAGACGTGATACTGGGGAGCAAGTGAAGATACGTAACACATACCTTGATAATCAGTGGGTTATCCCGTACAATCCTTATCTTTCTTCACTGTTTGATTGCCACTTGAATGTTGAGGTTTGTTCCACAATTAAAGCAGTGAAATACCTATATAAATACGTGTACAAGGGTCATGATAGGGTTTCATTCAATGTAGTACCAGGTGAGAATAACTCTGTTGATGAAATTAATCAATTCCAGTCAGGCAGATAGGTTTCCCCTTGTGAAGCAGCGTGGAGAATATTTAGTTTTGATCTATTTGAAATGCATCCTCCTGTTCTTCCATTACAAGTTCATTTGCCTAATGAACAAACTGTGCATCTACATCCTCATGAAAGGCTACATGATGTTGTTGCTAATTCTAAACGTTCTCGAACTCAATTGATTGAATTCTTTACAGTCAATGCAGCTACTGAAGGTGGGACAGGCCACTTGTATGGTGAATTTTGTGAACATTACAGATGGGACGCAGGTGCTAAGCAATGGAAAGAAAGGGTGCTAAATCTATTTTCTGTTGGGCGTCTTGCATTTGTGTATCCTGCAGAAGGGGAACATTTTTTCCTACGGTTGCTATTACTAAATGTCAGAAGTCCAAGTTTATTTGAGGGGCTTCGAACTGTGAATGGCCATGTATACCCAGCATTCCATGATGCGGCATTGAAGTTAGGATTAATAGAAAATGATGATATTGCAAACTTAATATTGTGTGAAGCGTCAGAGGTCCAAATGCCTGATGCCTTACGTCGTTTGTTTGCAACAGTACTTATTTTCTGTCAAACAGCTGATCCGCCTGCATTATGGATGAAATTTTACCCATTTCTGTCTGAAGATTTCAGTTTCAAATATGCTGACAACGTTTCTAAAATTCAACAGTTAACAGTTCATTCTGTTGAGGGATACCTTGAAGCCATGGGGAAATCACTGTCGGCATTTGGGTTGGACCATTTAATCGCTCATGTTGGCATTGAGATCAGAAGAACAAAGGATATTGTGGATGCTCTTGATGCCCCTATTCCCCCAGAAAGCCTAACATGCTGTTCTAGATTAAACCATGAACAAAATGCTGCCTTCTCATGTATCATGCAGTATGTAATGGAAGGGAAGCCAGGTGCTTTTTTTATAGATGGTCCGGGAGGAATAGGGAAAACATTTTTATACAATGCATTGTATGCAGAGGTTCGACTCATGAACAAGATTGTGTTGCCTACAGCAACATCGGGTATTGCTACATCAAATATACCTTCAGGACGTACAGCTCATTCAAGGTTTAAAATCCCACTTGATAGTGATGCTTCGTTGGCTTGCGCTGTTCCTAAACAGGGAAGTTTAGCAGCATTACTTAGGGAAACGTCATTGATAATATGGGATGAGGCTTCGATGGCCAAGAAACATAATATTGAATCCTTGGATTTACTCTTGCAGGATGTGTGTGATAATAAAATCATGTTTGGAGGGAAAATTATTGTGTTTGGAGGTGATTTTAGGCAGGTTTTGCCTGTAGTTCCACATAGATCAATGAAAGAAGCAGTGGAAACCAGTATTGTCACTTCATACTTATGGCCTAGATTCGTAAAGTTTAGGTTGATAGAAAATATTAGAGCTCGGGAGGATTTACCATACTCTGAATTCTTGCTTGCCTTAGGTAATGGTGAGCTGCAAAAATCAGAAATAGCTTATGTCCAGTTGCCAGACCAAGTTGCCCAATTTTGTGAAACTGAAAATAATTTGGTTTCTGACTTGATACAAGCAACGTTCCCTGAAATGGTGCACGGTAACCTGTGTGCTGACAGTTTTATTAATCGAGCAATCTTGACACCGTTAAATGATGATGTGGATTTGATTAATACGTTCATGATAGAAAGATTTAAGGGCAGAGCTGTCACATACAAGAGCTTTGATATTATGCTGAATGATTCGTGTAATATATATCCTACAGAGTTCATGAATAGCTTGTGCCCAGGAGGAATGAGCCCTCATGAGCTTGTGCTGAAGGAAAACTGTCCAGTTATCCTTCTAAGGAATCTTCTGCCTTCATCTGGTTTATGCAATGGTACTCGTCTTACTTGTAAACGATTTTTCCCAAATGTTATCCAATGTGTCATTGCTACAGGAAAATACAAAGGCAATCATGTTTTCATCCACAGGATCAATTTAAGACCATCTGGTTCTATGAATTATCCTTTTCAGTTTGAGAGGAACAATTCCCCATCAAGTTAAGTTTTGCAATGACAATAAAAAAATCTCAGGGTCAGACTCTTAATTAGGTGTCTATACATCTTCCACGCCCATGTTTTTCTCATGGTCAGCTGTATGTTGCTTTGTCAAGGGCTAAAAAAGCAACAGATGTTGCTGTCTTTTACGCTAAGCCTCTGGAATAACACCCACTCAACACTGTGAAGAATGTTGTTGCTTTTGAAGTGTTGAGATTGGATGGAATAGTGCATGATAGCACAGAAGAAGAGACATAAATACTTGCTTTCATCAGAGCACTAGAGCAGAACTTCAGAGTATGTTATCTTTTTCTTTTTGAACTTCAACATGTATTACAGTTTGCATTTAATGGGATACATTAGATTTTCAGTAAGTAATACCACTGTCAGATGTCTTTCTATTTATTATTCACAGGTGTATGAAGGTGAACAGATCAGGTTAGTAATAACCTTACCAAGGTATATAATCAACATTGAAAGCTTACCTTCTAGCCAATAAATAGCATGTACAGACTACTTATTTAGATGTTGCATTGTGCATAGCATTAGATTACGTAATTAGATTACTGGTAGATGCTATAACTTAGCACCTAGAACAGGCTATCTTAATTGCTCAGTACTTTCATTAATGACCATTAGTTTAATTTTCATTGTTATAGCATTTACACTAAAACACAGTAAAGACATAACTAATGTTGAACCACATTTAAATCATACAAATTACAGTTAATATGTCAGCAGATGAACATGTGGGTCTCAAGCTGTAAATACATTTTATCTGGGGCTAAAACTTATGTGTGATTCTTCATGCTTGATACGCTGCCTATTAGTACCCACAACACATTCTACTTTATCCCAAATCAGAATGGGTGTAAATTATAAGGTTGTTGAATATAACTGAGACCTAAGCTAGGCCAAGATTTGCTTTAGATTCTTTGATATGGAATCACTGACTTGCAGCAGATGCTTTTATAAAAAAAATTGACTTTGGGAAATATTCTAGATACTATTGGAAAAAGAAATCAGATTAACAAGGGAATGCTGTGAATACTTTTTAAAGAGTAATCGACTTAAGTGAAACAAAGCAGACAGTAAGTAACTGTTATAGATTCTATTATGCATGACACTCTTTTATCACTGCTTTCAGCAAGAAAATGGCCGAAAGTCTCGTTAGACCACATGACTGAAGTCTGCTAGAGCATCCACAGCTTGGCACCAAACCTATGGATATTCCTTATAAGTAAGTCATTATTGAATACCTTCAATTTGAACAAGATATTATAGTTTGTTTTCCGGAAATTTTTTAAATCTTGTGAAAAGGCACCTCTTTATAAGGAGAAATGCCATAACATAAGAAGGAGAGAAATGTGAAGCTATTGACCCTAGGAGAAAGATTATCTCAGTTCAGCAGTAGGTTGCATGGATGTTGAAATCAAATACTTACATTTTTTAAGCTATTGTTTTATAAAAAACAAACAAAACACAACATAACCTCCTTTCCTCTCTTCTGAAGCTAGGGAAAACAAAAGTTTAGATAAGCAGATAAATGCTTCCCTCATTTTCTTTTTCACTTCCTTTTCTGTCAGTCTACCATGGTTACTGATAAATGTCACAAAATTAAAACTCAGGGGACCATGTTACAGCATAAATGGTAGTTTGAGTGCTTACAAGTATTAACCATTAAGTATAATTCAACTTTGTCATTATATTCCATTCTTAGACTGTTAAGTAGAATTCATGTTTATCATTATATTCCATTCAATTTTATCATCACTTTAGGTACTATGTGGCTTTACATTCCTTAAAAATTCTATGAGATTAGTCTTAAAAATTCTATGACATTAGTCTTAAAAATCCTTTAGGTACCATGTTCAGAGCCCATTAGCCTTAAAAATTCTATGAGGTTAGGACACTATTCCTACTGTTATTGTTTAACCTGGAAGCAAATGTACATGCCATGTAGTTCTTATCACTCAATATTAATCTTATTCAAACCAGTACTTTAAAGAGTTTCAACTAAGCTGTACTTTGAAGCATAGCATAACTGAAGCTTAGTGTAAAGATATTTTTAATACAATAGTTACACAGTGGCCTGTTTCAAAGGCATTACCCTACAACTTTAATACTGACTGACCAACTTAATACATAAATACTTATTTTACATAACAGGATTATTATACAAATGCAACACATAGTTGTCTTTCCAACATAAATATCAGGCATTAGCTATCCAAACTGCTACACCTTGTAATGAATATCTAGCACTTTTATTATCACATACCTAGCTATTTTAGACAACACATATTGCTGATGATGCAGTAGTCAAACATGTGAACTGGAAAGCAGTTCTATCTGAACAACTATGCTGGTCCGAGCACCACCTCAAATAGAAGAGGAAAACCTGATCGATAAATAACTAAGGCACCTAAACCAGCCACAGCAGACACATGTTCATAGAACATATTTACATCATTGCATAGTACACATGATATGATGCTGTCTTCTTTCCAAACCAGCTGTAAATCAACACACCACTGGTCCCTTTTGTGACGCAGAAGAACAGATGTGGAAGGATCTGCTGTCCAGAAATGCATTGTAGCAAATGGCACTGGAACAACCTTAAAAAACAAAAATTACAGATAACCAGCAGTTAAATATATGCTAATAACAATATGGTAAGCACATGTTCATAAAATATATATTCTTATATACAGTTTAGTAACTCCAAAACTTACAATAATTCCTTGGAAAATAGATCGTTGATTAAACACACATGTAAATGATGGCTGAAGACATTGTTGTTGCATTAGCCTCAAGTGATTTTCCAGTTCTACAACAGACAATGGAAGCCTTCTTCGAGTAATTATGGTCTGTGTAACTGGTATACCAAGATGGGTTTTATCATGCCCATCACATGAGAAAATTTTGGAATGAAATATTCTTCTACCTTTATAATACATCATCAAGGTATCTCCAACTTCGATATCATTATCTGAAATGAAC